GAAAAAAGAAAAAAAAAAGAAAACAAAGGAAAAAAAAAAAAAAAGAAAACAAAAAACAGTTTCTAAACTCCTTAAATTCACTAAAAACTGTGAAAATTCCCGGCAGGATGTTTGAATATCAAACGCAGATTTTGGAAGCTTTAATGCCAAGAGTTAGTTCTGTGTGTTGGTTTGCTCATGTCTCCCCGTGTGTCTCTATCTGTGCGCTGGCCGCAGGACTGCGGAGCAGGAGGAGGAGGAGGAGGAGGAGGAGGAAGAGGAGGAGGAAGAGGAAGAAGAGGAGGAGGAAGGGGGGGCCAGCGGGTTTCGGCTCTTGAGGCTGGCCAGGCCGGGCGAAGCCGAAGCGCCGTCGCATTCCCGGGAGGATTTGCTGCCCGAGGTGCGGCGGGTGCAGCGCGACAGCCGGTCCTGGGCGTCGGGCTGGTCCTCGCACTCCGTCCGGGGGTCGTAGGAGAGCGGGAAGGTGCGGCGCTCCCAGGGCTGCACGGCCTGCGGGGAGAGAACCGCGTCACGGGAAATCCCCGCAGAAGCCTTCTGTCCCGACTCCTTGCACGGGTCCGGAGCTCAGAGCCGCTCCCGGTGCGGAGCCCGGAAGCTTCGGCGGCTGCAGACGGAGCTCCCGAGCCGCCTCCCCACGCCCGGGTCACCTGCGCGGCCAGAACCCACCTGCTCGTCCGGGCCGGCCTCGGGCGTGGAGCAACGCGTGTCCTCGCTGGACAGGAGCCGCAGAGAGTCCCGGGACAGGGGCGTCAGGGGGGCACAGAGCAGTTCGGGGCTGATGGGGCTGCGTGGTGAGTGGGTGTGGGACAGCTCCAAGTGCGAGTGGTAGTTGCCCACCTCAGGGGATGCCGGCTGGGGAGTCGAGGGGTTCCCCAGCTGGGGGGTCGTCCGTCCGTCTGTTGATCTGTAGGACCTGAGACGGGAGCGGGTGTGAGAGCCCAGCCGTGCTCCCCCACTGCTGCCTGATCCCACCCCAGGATCCTTTTGCCCTGAACACAAGCAGGGAATGGCACAGCCCAGAGGCCAAAGCCACCCAGGCCCATCCCCGTCCCATTTCCACTGTCTGGATGCACCACGGACGCTGCTCTCCACAGCTTCTGTGTCCCACACACCTCCTGTGCTTCCAGTGCTGCACAGACACCGTGATGAGAAGCTCCTTATGAAATCAAGACACTTCAAAGTGTTTCCCCCTCCTCACACCAGGTGACCCCTGGCAGTGGCTCAGGGACTGAGCACAGGGAATCAGCAATGCTGGAAATGCAGTAATTTCAGCAGCTGCGAGTGGGAGGAGCACGGTGAAACCCCAAGATCTCAGATTTCAACCAAGAATTACAGAACTCTGAGCCCCAACACGGAGTCCAGATAAAAACCCACAGGCTACAAGCAGAGAAACATAACTGAGTTCGCAAATCCATGTGCAACTCTCCAAGATGAACTGCAACAGCGAGCAAACATCAAGGATTTCAGATGTAAGAAATGGGCTAAAGAAACGGCAAAACATCCCAGGAGCACTGGGAATTGCAGCTGGAAACGGCAGCAGCAGCAGCACCAGTGGCATCTGACACAGGCCAGGAACCCCCGATGGCAGCCCAAAGGCACTGACCCAAACCACAACAGCTCCAGGGGCAGTGACAGAGCTGGGGCTCTGCAGCGTCTCTGCCCCAGAACAAAGTGACTCCAGGCAACCAAACCCTCAGTGATGGAACCGAGAAGAGCAAATCTCTTCTTGTGCAGGTTTATGACGAGACCAACAGCTGCAAACAGTGCTGCTTTTGGACACCCGCTCATAAAGACCCAGCAGAAAGGGAACCGAGTTGTCCAGTGACTGTCCCTGATCCTGCAGGAACGATGCCATCGCAAGCCCTGTGCCTTCCCCTGGACTCCTGGGCTGGCACAGCACGTCCCTCGCTCCTGGAGCAGTGCAGCTGTGTGCAGCACAGCGGCTGCAGCTTCATCCCACCCAAGCAACTGTGCCCCGCTCCCACACGGGCTCCTCCAGCTGCATGGCGCCAAACTTTTCAACACCAGCACCGCTTTCAAGCGTTTTTGTGAGTCACCACCTGCTCCCAGGAGCATCCCAGCGCTGGGAGTGCGGCCCTGTGGGCAGGGCTGTACCTGCTGCCCCGGCGCTGCGGGGGGACGCTCGTGCTCCAGAGCCACCGCGCTCGCTCCATCTCCTCACACTTCCCGTGCCGAGCAGCGAACGCCGAATCCGACAAGTCCTCAACCTGCAAGGGGAGGCAGAGGGCTCGGTCAGAGCTTTCTTCTTTCAGACAACCATCTCTGTACAGTTCTGCCAGCACTAGTGGCACTGAGAATTTAGAATGTCCCGAGCTGGAAGGGACTCACAGGGATCATCCAGTCCAGCTCCTGGTCCTGCACAGACACCCCAACAGTCCCATCCCACACCCAACAGCATTGTCCAAATGCTCCTGGAGCTCTGGCAGCCCTGTACAGGAACCAACACCAGCTCTTGGTTCCCTGCTGAGGTCCCTGCCTCTCCTCTACAGACACTGTTCAGTCACCACCAGCCTCATCCCACATTAACTGGAAAATAAAACCCTTCTTACCTCCTCATTGTCCTCCTCAGGGTTGGCTTTCAGAGCACTGATATCAACTTCACGCCAGCTGCAACACAACCACCACGGGCATCACTCAGGGCACAGCCAGAACCAGCTGCACATCCCCCTCCCCACCCAACACTGGCTTTTGGGAAAGGGAAATTCCACTCTGCCACGAGGAGCAACACTCTCGGGCTCAGTGTGAAGTACCAGACCTCCCTGGTGGCCTGGTAGCACAGCTGAAGCTTCCCAAGGACAGAGGAAGCAGAGCAGAGGCTGCAGCATTTCCTTCTCTTCCTCCCACGGGTTCCCTCCTGCCTGGCTCTGGAATGGGCCAGGGAGGAGCACAGAGGAACAGGAGGAAGCCAGAGTGAAGTTGGGAAGAGGCAGAACTGCAAGGTTAACCAGCCCAGGTGTCTGCAGAGCTGGGAAACCACTGGCACCTTTGGCTCAGCAGCAAGACAAGGAGACCACCAGGACTGACTTTAAACTGAGCAGACACTGAGCTGGGCAGCTGGCTTTGATGGCCAAGGGACCCTCAGAGGAAACCCCCAACCTCAGCCAGTCCCCAGCAATGCAATGATCAGCTTTGCAACCTTTCCCTTCCCTCTGGGGCAGTACCTGGGGGTGAGGATCTCCTTGTACTGCAGCTTCTCCACGCGGGTCGTGGCAGCCACGGACATGGGGATGACGATGTTGTTTATGTCAAAGGAGCTCTCGCCCCGCCTCCTCCTCGGCTGCTGCAACAGAAGAACCAGGAGAGAAAGGGATGTGGGGTCTGGCATGTGGGAGTCATTGATGGAGAGAGGACAGAATGATCTTGTCTGACCTACAGACACTTCAGAGCCAACATCCATCTGCACCAGACTAGAGTTCCCCTCCTGCTTGCTCCAAGTCCTCTTCCCAACCCCAAATCTGCCCCAGCAGCAAGGAAACCCAAACCCCAAGGTGTGGCTGCCCTTCGGAGGGGAGCGCACACGGACCCGCAGCTGCCTGGGACGCTTGAACACAGGAGGAGCTCCACCCCTGAGCCCAGGGCCTGGAGCCCAGAGCCTGGAATCCTCTTGCTGGGGGAGGGAAACCTCTTCATCTTTCATTTCTGAACGAGCTTGCGAAAGCAACAAGAGAAACCCAGGGTGGGTGTGTGCAGAGCCAAGGCCTCTTCGAGGTGTCAGGGCTGCTGAGATGGGCTGTCCTCCCCTCCAAGACACTCAAGCTGAACCAGCCCTGGGTTCTTCTGATGCTGATGTCACAGCTGGTGACGGAACAACTGAATTCTGCAGTGAAGGACCCAGAACCCCACAGCAACAAGCCTGGAGCAGGGGGTTCAAGGAGTCCTGCTCTGCTGTCCCATGTCACCTCCAGCTCAGGCTTTGGCCCAAACTACCAAATGGGTAGTTTGAACAGACAGAAGCCAGATTCTTCACTGGGACACCTGTGAGCTCAGCAGAATTCAGTTGTTCACTGGAGGGCTTCTGCTAACGTGGGCCTGGGAGGGTGATGGTGTCTGGTGCCATCGCCCTGTCCCCAGGCACAGTGGGAGTTTTGGTTCTGCTCACTGACACAGCTCAGGAAGATCCCACATCCTGCCATCCTCAAGCAGTGTGGGAGTCTGAGTGTGTCTCAGAAGACGGTCTGAGCTCAGACACTGCAGGGGAAGGTCACCACCACTGCTGTGCCCTGGCCCTGTGACACCGAGGCCATGAGGGGAGCTGTCCCAGTGGGAGCTCAGCTCTTCTCCTGGCCACACTGATCCAGAAACCAAAATCTGGATGTGGACCACAGCCAAGGGACTGCTGGGCACGGGAATATTCACCAGCAGCTGCCCAGCTGATGGTGAACCTGGAATTGCAGCTGCCTGGCTCTGCACAGCCAACAGATCCAACACCCACTAAGGCCAGCGTGGCAAGACCAACACTGAGCACTCCCCAGCCCCAAATCTGTGTAAGAGCTGAGCCCCCACGATGGGGCTGAACCCCCCCAGAAGGCAGCAGATACTCACAGCAGTGCCAGAGGTGCCCTGGGAAGAGGAGCTGGCAGGAGCTGAGCCCTCGGAGGAGGTGGAGAGCTGCCGAGCTATGGGGCTGTGAGGGGTGGGGGTCACAGCTGCTGACAGGTAGCTCGGGCCACCGACGTCCGTGTGATGCTTCAACACTGCACAGGGACGGGGAGAAAATGAACAACAGCGTCAGCAACAAACCCAACCCAGCCGAGGGGGTGGTGGTGGAGAGGAGAGGACCATGTGCCCCAGAAAGGGCCGGTGCTGAGGAGCTCTGCAGGAAAGAGAAGCGCCTTCCGAGGGGGCTGCCCTGGGGAAGAAGCAGTTTAGAGCACACAAGGCATTGCTGCGGTGGCGGCTCGGCCCAAAGCAGTGCGTGCCCCCTTCTCTGGGGCAGAGAGGCTGGGGATGCAGCAAAGCCCAAGCTCCCCCCGAGACACCTGCCCCTGGGGGCCTACCTTCACTCCTCTCAGATGAGCAGTCTCGCAATCGCTTTTTGTCAAAGGCAGGAGGCTGGGCAGAGCGCTCTGGCGCTCTCTCGGCCTTGGACACGGCCGAAAAATCGTCTAAAGGCGGCCTGTGTGCCTTGTCTGCTTGGGCTTTTTGATGGGAGCGCTCTGAGGAGGGGAACAGAGAAAGAGCTATGAAATGCCCGTTTTCACCTCTCTTTCTGCTGGCACAGGAGGCTCGGGCAGAGTTTTCCAGCTCCACAAATTGTCCACACCATGGGGTGCTGGGGAGGCGTGCTCAGACCTGTGGCACTGCTGTGGGCACGGCGGACACCGAGCACAAGAAGGTCCCTACAAAGGTCCCTACCTGCACACACCTCACCTGCAGCCCTGCCATAACCCTGCCTCACCCCTGGGAGCGGGACCTGAAGGGCATCATCATCATCCTCCTCCTCCTCCTCCTGCTGCTCCTGCTCCTGTGTGAGCAGCCCGGGCAGGGGCAGCACTTACTGGCCGCGGTGAAGAAGGAGTTGACCAGCTTGTGGCGGTCCTTGCGCGCGGGGTCGGCCAGGCTGGGGGGCACGGGGGCTCTGTGCTTCAGAGACAGCTTTTTGGGAGGTTTAGTTTTCTCGTAGGGTTTGTTCTGCCACTGGGATTTCAACATGCTCTGGAAGTGCAGGCTCGTCGGCACATCTGCAGGGGACACAGAACATGGAATCCGAATTAATCATGAAACAAAGAGCACGTCCAGCACCCTGTCCCAGTGCCCCCAGTGAGAACAGCCCCGAGGAACAGGCAAGCACGGACTGTCAGACCCAGGCTTCCATACACTCTGCTCACATTCAGGAAGGACCTGCAATAGGTCCTAGCAGGTCTTTGTGAAAAGGACATTCCTACAGGATTCACAGCCCAAGCATATCCTGGCAGAAGAAAAATGTTTTCTTTGTCAGAAAACTTCTGTGTCTTCACCTCTGAAGTTCCCTCACGTGGTGCTACCTCAGATCTGACTTCCAAGAATCTGAGGTATCTCAGCACCAAAATGTGGGCTGGAAGAGAGAAATTCAGCCTAAATCCTCAATTCCAAGTCAAGCCAGAAGCCAACCAGGTACTGCAGCACATTAGTCTGCCTGATGTGGAATCTCAGCCATGAGAGGTTGTGTGTGACCACACCTGAGAGGCCCCAAGAGGAACTCCTGGCTGATAGTTCTTTGGCCATCACTGCTGGCTTCTGGGGACATGCTCCAAAAAACGTGGAGGGGCCAGGCCAGTCCTTTAGGGATGCTGCCAGCCACTAGAATGGTCAGACTTGGGGAAAACAGCCTCTGCTCTCTGCTCATCCTTTGCCTTCTCCTCCCAGTTCCCATCCCACACCATCTGTGGAAGGAGGGGACAGTTTGAAGGGAGGGGGACAAGGCCAAGACAAAACCTTGTCAGCAGAAAGCGAGTTCTTTGCTGCTTTGGCACTGCCCTGCTGGCAGCAGAGTCCGTGCACAAGTGGCACCATCCCTCCTGCCCCTGCTGCTGGAGAAGCAGTGCAGGGCTCCCAGGGACCGGCAGATGGCAACCACAGTGAGCACAGCGCTCATCCTCCCTCCAAGGTTATTACATCATCCAAAAATTCCAGCGAGAAATCAAACCAAGCAGAAAAACACCAAACCCCACACCACCCTGACAGGAAGGGGACAAAAGGGGACAAAGCTCTGGCAGGGGTTAAAGGCCTCGCTGCATCTGTCCTGCTTGCCAGGGGAATAAGTGAATAAATGATCTTTTCCTCCTGCAGTGCCTGGCAGTTTTGCCCTTGGCAAACTGCTCTGGAGATCCCGGCTGGCACTGGAGAGACAGCTCAAAGTGAAAGTCAGCACATGCTCACAGCTCCAGCCCGCTCCATCCAGCAGGAATCCTCAGTGAGCCCCTGCACACGCAGCCAGCAGCACCCTGACACCTCCAACAGCACCAGCCCCACCTGAACAAATTACCTGCCTTTTCTTTGGGATGGGAATCACCCCCCTCCCAAACATCAACCCTAGCAAACTGCACTAAGCATGACTGAATAAATAAAGTTCACCAGTAGGGGAAAATGGGTATTTCTGTACAGGTGTTTTCAGCTTTACAACAATTAGTTTTAAATCCAAAGTTTTTTAATCTCATGCAGCCAGAATGGATCTTCTGCACTGTCAGCTGGCTGCAGGGAGCCCTGAAAATGGGAAGAACATGGGATAATTTGCCCGGTGTCTCTGCTGCAATAGCACCCAACAGGTTGTCTCCCCACTTCCCAGGATATTTGAATTAGCACTAGAGAGGATCACAAGTGCTGTGAACACAGAAAATAAATTCCTGCTTCAGGAGTTCATTAAGTTCCTTGAGCACTCCTGATCAGAGCTGTGTCTTTGGGAGGGGAGGGATCTAGCTAAAAATAGCACCAATTTACTATTTTAGTCTGGTTTAAATATAGTGCTAATGAAAGAGGCCACATTAATTGCTCCCAGACACTCCCTGCACTTCCTTCTGTCACGTGAAGCTTGTGAAAAGCTGGAATTTAAACCCAAGCACACCCATCAGCCCAGTGACTTCCCCCAGACCAACCACCCGACACCCCCAGGGCAGCCAGGCTCACACCTTCCCCCAGCACCAGAACCCCAGGATGAGCTGGCCAGGGACACCTGACACTACCCCAGCTCGCTCCAAGCCCCGTCCAGCCTGGCCCTGGACCCTTCCAAGGATGGGGCAGCCACAGTTTTACACCTCAAGCAGCCACAAACCCCCAGCAATGGCAGGAACCACTGTGACCCATGCACTGCCCAACCCTCCCAATAAAAGCACCAGTTCAAGAAGACTCTGGAGACTCTTCCCTTGGGAAAAGTCCCTACACATGAAATCTGTGAATAGCCCAGGGTCAGGGTTGGTTAATTATTGCTCTTAATGATGATTAACCCTGAAGCTGTAACACAGGAAATTGAGTGTCCTAACGAGAACATCCCTTCTTGCTGTGCCTACTGAACCATGGAAGATCATTTTCAATTCCTCACGAGGTCAAAAGGATTTCCTGTGACAAATCATTTAATACAGATGGACAAACTCTGGAAACAAATCTTTCTCAGGTGGTTTAGAGCCCCAAAGACCCCAGAGCCAAGTCCCAGGAAGGACTCCAGGCACTGCTTCGTGTGAGGCTCCAGGTGGAGATTCCCAAAACACAGCAGAGCCTACTAAAGTAACACTTCCCAGACCCTCCCGCTCCAGTCAGTGCTCTAATCTCCAAAACACCTGCAGATGAACAGCTCTGGTGGTACCCAAGTGGATCTGCACCTCCCCTGCAAGCCCAGGGCGCCTCCAAGCAGTCCCTGTGGCCCCCCAGAACCCCCAGGACCCCCCAGGACCCGAGCTCACCGTCTGGGAATGACAGGACAGGATGGATGCAGGAGTCCAGCTGGGAGAGGCGCTCCAGCAGAGGGGCATCGTACTGGATGTCCAGCGTGGAGGAGCTGCGGGCGCCGCACAGGGCACACGAGGGGTTGACGTCGCAGCTGCAGCGCGCCAGGCTGGCACGGAGCGCCTGCAGGGACACGGGGACATCACAGCCAGCCAGCACAGGGACCCTCCCTGACACCCCTGCCACAGCCCATGGAACACAGCCAACAAGCAGCTCTGCTTTCTGAATATTCCTTGTACATATCTATCTATTTATCTATCGATATAGACAGATAGACAGATGTAAATACATACTGTATATAAAGTATCTAAAATCAAACCCACATTTTTATGTAATATAGTTACATTTCATTAACAATAAATATACAATTAATTTTATTTCTATATAATTTATTATATTGAACAGCTGTTATGTGACATTTATAAATATTGTTATAAAATTATACTTATTATGCATAATATATATCTATAGTATATTCGATATTAATTATATACATTAGATATAATCATAATGTGTGTGTATATACACAAACACATACACACACCCCCTTTTTATTTTTTCTCTACCTTGTTGTAACAGAACCTGTTAATTTATCTGGCCTCACGAGAGGATGCTTTCACTTTGCATAAACACAACTGAAAACTACGACTTACCAGCACAGACAGTTTAACAGCTGCTAAATTTGACTAAAAGTGTTTAATTTTATCTAGGTTGAAACCTCATTTATAAAAACCATGAGGCAGCACAATTCTGCTGTCAGAGAAGGGGGAAAGAAGCCATTTTTAGTTCCAGTGGGTCAGAACCATCATTATGTGCCAGGAGCTGACGCTTGCAGGGATATCTACAGAGTGACACAGGTGGTTCTCAGCCCTGTTCCTTAATCCAGGACAGTCTCAATTCATAGATTTATAGACCTGATACAGACTTCATCTGTGTGAAACCACTGCAAGCAGACACACAACTGGATATAAATCCCATGCAGAGAAAAGAACCCCTGATTCCCCACCAAAATGGAAGAATGGATCAAACTGGATCCTGCAGAAGCCTGTTCCGAGTCAGAATTACTCAAATAATTCCCATGAATTACTTGAAGGATGGGAGAGCATACCCACAGCAAGTGGCACTACACTGAGAAAGGGCTGCTTGAAGGGAAGAGCTGGAAACCCACTCCTGGTTACCAGTTAAGAAAAATGATCTAAAATAAATGAAATATAATTCAGCCAGGGTGAATGCAGGGAGCAAATGCCCAGAGGTGAGGAGGAAGGGGTAACTGAGCAGTTACATTGCTACCTCTGAAGCTCTGCCCAGAGGATGTGGAGGTTGTGATGGATCCAACAACGAGCATGAATCAGCAGAGCTGATTAATTAATTAAATAAAATTAATTAATAAAAATTAATTCATAAATAAAAAATAATAAATATTAAGCCCACAGGGCTTTTCAACTAGGATCTGGGCAAGGAGAGAGGCAATCCTGCCACTCTGCCAAATATGTCAGCTGGAGGTCTGCCCCCAGCTTTGGGCACAAATTCCCATAAATGTGTGCAACCCAATTGTGAGGAAAACAATAAAAACATGACAAGATCAAAAACTCCACAATGCATGTGCAAAGTTCAGTGCACAGCCACTTTGTGCTGCGCAGGAGGCAACTGGAGAAGGTATTTCTGGAGGTACTTCTGGAGCAGCACTTGGCCATGACTCAGCTGTCTCTGGAATGACTGGAGGAGGACTCAGAAATCCCCTCCTCTCCGGCACTTCCACCCCTGGAACCGCTCTTCTGAACCATCTCTGATTACCAAACGGATTTGATGACAAGAACAAAGATCCAACACAGAATTTACAGCCAATTCTTCAAGCACTGAGTGCACGAGGCAGCCTCTACCACAAAAAAGTTCATCAACTTCCAAATCACTGAAGATTTTGCAAGTAATCACTGCAGAGCTCTCCCAGAAATACCCCAGATAAAACTGCAGATAAGTGATCAGTTAAAGCTGATTCAGCTGAGAAAGAATCTATTTTGCTCAGAAAAATGCTGCTTTTGGAACTTCTCTTTTAAACATCCACAGAGTGAAAACCCCCCAACCCTTGTGGGAGAGTTAGACTTGAAACACTTTGTCTCAAAGGTAAATGGATTTTTGCCATTATGGTTCTGCATGCACAAATAAAGGTCCTTATTTCCTCCATTTCTCACTATTTTCCCTCCAACTGACAGTTTATGGTATTCCTAAGAGAAAATAAAAAGAACTGAACATGGCCCTTCCTCATACAGGCAATAAACTCCATTTCCACTGAACGAATTCTGCATAAGGGAGATGAGTATAAAAGATAGTAATAAAGAAAACAAAAGAGGAAGAGAGGGCATTCATCCCACGTGTGCCTGGGCAAACAGCTGTGGTTCTCCCTTGAGCAGCAGCAGCGAGTTCCTGGGGCTTTGCTAATTCCTGTCTCAGAGTTAAAGTTTCCTGATACTTGACTTCTCAGGGCTTCTTTCTCCTGCTCAGACTGTGCCACACTGACCTACCTGGCCTTGAGTTCACCTCAGGCTGCTTGGTTTAAGAAAACTCACGAGTTCAGCATCTTCCCTCCCCAGTGACAGGTAAGAAAAATCCTCCAACCTGCTACAACCTTCTCCTTCGCTTCTCCTTTGTTTTTCCAACAGCCTTTAAAGCCCTGCCGTCCTGCTCTTCCTTCCTGTTGTTCTTTTCCATCTTTACAAGGAAAGTAAGAGCAGAAACCGCCCAACTGACCTTTTTGGAAAGGGGCATGATGGTGCTGGGTCGGACGAGCCGCCGCTTCTTGCAGCTGAGCACGGGGCGGGTGCGAGCGGCCACACACGTCCCGTCCGCGGGGACCAGGGACAGGCGCTGCCTCTTGTGCAGGAGCTCCTCGGCCTCCTGGCCCTCTCCCTGAGCGTGTTCTGCCAGGCCAGGCTGCAGACTGCCCCAGAAGAGAGGAGAATAAGGAAAGCCCAGTTATTCATGCAGCACTACCAGCAGGTTCATGGCTCACACCTGAGCAAACACTCCAAGCTGAGTTTAAAGCTCTGCAGTTCATGGCACAACAGGTTTTATTAAACCAACTCCATTTTTGGCTTTTACTTCAGTCACCTTCCACTCTCCCACGACTGAACCTTTGACAAAACACCTTTGGAAGCTCTGAACAAAAATACAGCATTGAAAGCCACAGAGCAAAAGCCACTCTAGACCTGAATGGCTTTAACCCCAGAATTCAGCTTCCTCCAGAATGAGAGTTTGGGGAATCTCAAGACAAGGGGTTTTCGTGAGTCTAAATGCCAGAGAACATACAATTTTATAGAAAAAATATTTAACCCCGCTGTAAACTCGGTTCTGATGAATATTTGAGATCTCTACCCGTGGCAGCTCTCAGCAGTGACCCCAGAAAGGTGCAGTGTTAACACCAACCTCTCCCAGGCACAAAGGATGCAGCAGCCCTGGCATCAATACCCCGTGCCCTGAGCAGATCCCAGCGCAGCAGCGCCTCATCTACGGAACCTTTTCATGTCTATTCTACAAGTGTTTCATTTCTAAAAATGCAAAACATTAAAGCCCTGTGGTCTAAGGCTGTGCAGTTCAAAGGCTACAGGGACACAAAGGGCTCTGTTCCAGCCTGCAGTGTTCCAGCTGCAGCCACGGGCTCCTTGATCTGCTCACACTACATCGGTGCAGGATCCCTCCCTCCCTCCCTCCCTCCTTCCCTTTCCCCTCTCTTTCCCTGCCTCCTCAAGGCACTGAGCAATTGCAACGTTTTTCAAGGGTTTTCAAGTGGTTCAACCCTGTAGCATCAGGGAATGTCTTTCACTTGTTTTCATTTACCCACTTCAAGACTTTCTCAATAAAAGCAGCCTGGAGAAATAAAGAATTTAGGAAGTTTTACTCCCCAAATCAATGGGATTCCTCCATAACTCCAATAAAGTGGGTCAGTGGTTACAGGTAGTTCTGTGAGCAGGGCATTAGTACCTCTGAATCACACAATTTGCAGATGTATTAAAACTACTCATAAAGAAACAAGTTTTGCCCATGCTCAGTGCACAGCTGCCTGCAGGGCTTGTTCATGTAAACACAGCTCAGTTTAATTCCATTTTCAGCAAAACAATGCAGCAGAAAACCTCAAGCAAGCAATCTCCTCCAAAATGTTTCCAGGCATGATCTACTACTGTACTTTTTGAAGAAAGACACCATCTATACCATCACCAACTCAGTCACAGCCTGGTTTCCAACGGGACATTGCCCAGATCATAACAGCAAACACTCCCAGAATGTCCAAGAGCTTACGTGTTAATAACTCCATTGACGGGTCTGGGTGCTCCACAGGGCTTGGTGGGATGGGATTCAGGAGTATTTGCAGCAGGAATACCCATGTTTTCCAGGGGCTGAGATCCAGACACACTCTAAGGAAGGGTGAGAAAAATACAAATTAATCAAAGCTTCTTAAATAGCCACAACTTCTATCCCTGGGTTCTAGTTGAGGATTCTGCACTGTAGCCATGGATTTGCACACAGGACTTCAAACCAGGGTTCAGGAGTCACTGTATGAACAGGAGACCAGGGACACAAGGAGATCTTAGGGAGCAGCAAGAGGATGGATACACGGCAGCTCTTTCATTCCAAGATCCAAAGGACTTTAATTCCCCTCAGGCAACCAGGAGCATGAAAGGCTCAGGGCTTTAAAGAGATTTTAGCATTTTGTCTCCACAGTGCAAACAAGTTCATCACCACCTGTAAAGCTCTGCAGCCTCTGCTGCAGCTTGGTTTCTGTTCTGAGCTATGTGGCTGAAAGCTCCTGCCTGAGCATTTTGGGGGAGAACAGGGAGGGAGGGAGAGGGGAACTGACTTGCAAAACTGAATTTGCATTTTAACTTACTACCTGTGCAAACACAGTCCAAACAGCATTTTAGGGAGTGTTTTAAATGAGTGTGAACCCAGGCTGTGGGGTTTGGATGAGAACAGGGCGAGTCTGTAATGCTGAAAGTGCTGGATAAACACAAAGCTGGAAACACCTTTTTGGTAGAGGAAAGTGAGTAAAAATTGAGCCAAAAACACTGTGCTGCTCCCCAGTCCTGTCTGTCTGAGGTCTGAAATGCAAAGCCCCTGGCTCTGCAGGGAGCAGCAGGATTGTCACCAAGCCTCCAAGGACACACTGGCTTTGTACCTCCCAGCAGTGACATTCCTGCTCCCCACCCTGGAGCAGCCCACCAGTGTGTCCACAACTCTGGCATTCATCACCCTCAGCCCCATCCGTGCAGCCCCCCTGTTTTAGTGTCAGAAACGCTCCTCCCTGGGGTTAAACTTTATTTTTTCCTTTGTGCAGCACTTCCTACACTCCTTGCCCTGTCTCTCGCTGGGGTTCCCCCTTTGAGCACACACAGTGGTGATGTGGTTCAAGTACCAAGAAAAAAGGCCAAAGCAGAGGTCTGACACCACACAGATGGTCAGCCAAGCCCCCTGCTTGGCCCTGACTCCATCCCAAACCCATCTGGACTGTGTGGTGCAAACACCCTCCAACTCAATAAACACAAAACCAGGCCATGGCAGTGCTGGGTTAACAGATTCCAGAGGAGCAGAGACCTGAATCACCGAGGGAAGGGCAATTTCTAACAACTCAGACAGCTTCTGCCTGGGCCTGTTTGAGGAACTTTGCAGGGGGGTTTTACACTTCTGCTGAAAGAGATGTTTCTCCTATGGGGGAGAAAAGACAGGATGAGACCAACTCTGCCACCCAGAGAGCCAGAGGAGCAAGATCAGATCACACCTGAGAGGTCAGGTAAACCCAGCACCCCAGCCAGGTGAAGTCATGCAGGAGCTGAACACTTTCCCTCTGCTTTCCAGAGGCTTGGCAAGGCTGAGCCTCCACGTGACGCCCGCCAGAGGCACCCCTGGTGCAGCAGGGCGGGGACTCATGACTCATGAGCTCTTTTGAAATCGTTTATTTTCTTCTCCAGAAAGGGTCTTAAAGGAGGAACTTCTTCTCCAAGAGTTCACTCTGTCCTGGTGGTTCAAGATAGGAGTAGAGGGACTCAGCTGCCTCCTGCAGAGGAGCTGGAGAGCTCCAATCCAACGTGTGTTTATCAGGAGCAGCCCAGGCTCCCTTTATCACCCTGAGATGGGTGTACCCCGACACGAGCAGAGCCAGCACCTCCTGGTGCAGCTCCCAAAGCTGTGCTGTCCTCCTGGGATCCAGAGCAGCATCCATCCCACCAGGATCACAGCCCTGATCCTGACTGAGCTCTTCTGTGTGTTCTGGGTCTGGAAGTCCAGGTCCTCAGGATCGCTGGGACTCCTGGGGGGAGTCAAAGATTCAAGTGCAGCACATCAGGGCAGCAACGCAGCCGTGTGCGCACCGGCAGCCACGAGCCAACACCAGGAATGTCCCCTGCATTCCCAAAGAACCCTGACCAAAGCAGCCAGGTTCAGACCTTCACCTATTACTAGATATTGCCCCCTAATTATGTATTTCAAGTGCAGCCCCTCACTAGACAAGCAATCCAAGGAGCCAAAATCAACAGACAAGTTATGTCTTCAGGGCTTTGTTATTTCCACCTTCAGGCAAAAATATTTCTTCACCTACCGAGCTTCCATTTCCCAGAAGATGTATTCCCAGGCCTTGTTTGCAAAGCCCTTCCCTGCACTAGTGATAGGATTAGTTCCTCCTGGGGATTATCAGCCCCATCCCACGTCCGAAGCTGATGCCCAAGGACGTGGATCCGGCCGGCCAAGGGAGGCACTCGCAAGAGGAGGAGATCCAAGGGAGCTGGGATGAGGCAGGACGGATTCCTGCCTTTGCTCCATGATGCAGACGTGTCTCTTACTCTGCCAGTTTGTGGGGAAAGGCCTGGAGGGTGCCAAACAGGTAAGTACCTCTCCAGGAACGGCCCAAGAGATCCCTCTGCAGCACACAGAACGTCTCTGGGTAATCTCTGGCTCGGAGCAGATCAAGGCTCTGACTCAAGGCCCTGCCCTAATGAGCAGCCCTAATTAATCACAAACCCAGGAGCTGGGTGCCCGAGGCGGTGGTTCCAGGGGTGACACTTCCAGGGAAGCTGGGAGTGAGGAGTGCTGTGGGAGTCCCTGCAGAAGGGGAACAAACACCCTTTTCAGGCCAAGAAGGCACACGGGGCTGCAGAGTGACCACAAGAAAGTGCCAAGCAGAACCTGCAGAAGTTTCAGGGACCACCCTTCTCCTCCTACTCCACCACGACTTCCAAACCCTCCATTTTAATCCATTGATGCATCCCCCAGGATCCAAAGCAACCACCGGCAGGCTGAACAGTACCATCAAGCCTTTACTCTGTGCCCTACATTTCTGCATTAAATAATAAATACCTGGCACTCTGCATAGTTTCCAGTGCATCTCACTGCAATCATTAGTGCCCTTTCCAAGGGGGAATGCTCAGGCAGATATTAAATAGCCACATCTTGAGCAGCCTTTGCTAATCATGCTGCTCTCAGTTTGAGGTACTTTTTGCTGGAGGGAAAGGATTAGTTAAGATTTTAAAGCTTCACAAAATGCTAATGCATATTACAAAGGTACCCCCAGGAACTCTGTTCTAAAAGGTGTTTAAATCCTATTGTTTATTACCCCCACAATAACGTGGGAGGGGGCGAGCTACAGACCAAGATCAGTGATTCCCACCTGGAGTCACAGGGAGGAGCTGCTCCACGAGTCCAGGTTTGAGCATCCTCCTGCCCCACAGCTCCAAGGATGGCCCTTCCCTCCCCAGCACCGCTGCAGGTGCAGCACCTGGAGCAGCCAGTCCCACTGCTGGCACTTACCAGCCGCTCGGCCCCAGGCTCCAGCTTCACCTCAGCTCCAACAGGACGGGATGGATCATCTACTGCAGGCTCAGGGGGCGATGCCTCCCCGAGAACTATCAGCCCCTGGAAGAGAGGGAATGGGAATTAACTGCACATCCCTTGGTCTCTGCAGGGAAACTGCACACCCATCATCCCCCAAACCCCATGCTGCACAGCAGGCTTTGAACTCCCACCAATCCCCCAATGCTGCCTGACTTTTCCTGACATTCCAGCTGAACTCAGGGAAGGAAGGACAGTGGCTGGGGACAGCTCACAGGCCTCTGCCCCACTGCCTGCCCCACGAGCAGCTCCAGGGACCAGCCAGGCCACAGCAGCAAGCGACTGCTCTCATCCTGCAGAGGGGAACCTGCCACCACAGCCAAGCAAACCATTCTGAGCAGGTGACAAAAATCTACAGACTCGTTACTCTGAGCAGACCTCGATGCAGTATTTACAAAAATTCAATAAGGAAAGGAAGACATTGCTATAAACTCAGAGAGACAAAGCACGGTGGCTGAGCACTGTTTCATCAGGTTTAACATACGCTGTTCTGTTTCTGTTTAACTGAAGCTTAATCTAAAGGCAGGACTGCTTTGCTCTCAGAACAACACAAAGTGAAATAAAATAATTGTAATTATGCATATTCTGAGCTATATTATAACAAAGCAGACAAAATGTGGAAGGCATTAGGGAGCTGGTGGAACCTACAGGCCACGAACACAGCCCAGGACAAAGACAAGCCCCAGTGAGCTGCATCTGGTCAAACAAGGAACTGAGAAGGGGCTGTTGAGATCAAGAACAGGCAGATCCGTCACCTGAAAACAATTCTGGAGGTTGCACAGTGTGTCACAGCAAAGTGAGCCTGGAGGGGAACCTGGGCACGTTATCTGGAGAGAGGACACAGCTACAAGGCTTCCCTCAACAGCCTGCTATTTTTAAGTGCCTTTTTGCAGGGTATTTTACAACCAGCTCTGAGCACACGCTCCCTGATTTGGTGTTTTCCTCCACATCTCACCAGGCTCCGACTGAGCTGAGAGCACAATTCCTGCTGAGACACCCAGGCAGCAGTTTACCCTCAAAACACAGGGTTATTTTTGACTGCCTCGTCCTTCCCTGGCTTTGATCTGACACAGCAATGTGTCTTTCTTGAAGGTACACTGGGATGGAAACTCTAACACATAAAGGTAATTAACCTAAAAAAGAATGAAATCAAATGTCTTTGAACTTTAGAACTTGTAGAACTCTGAATTCCTGCAGCAGCTATATTTTAACCTCCTTATGGGCAGATAAGCTGGAGTTAAGTTACATTGATAGAAAAAACAAGGTGTTTCCAAATTCTTTAACTGTTTTCCTTGTACAATTTGAAGCCAAATTCATTCCAACAAGCTTGTGTGTTACTGAAACACGAGGTTGTTTCTCTAGCCTCCTATTCTTGTTCCAAGCCCTTCTAAGAGGCTCTCTAGCTTTTCACTGGTGCAAACAGAATCTGTTTTACAACCATCCCAGAGCTCAATGACATCAAGATAATGACAGCTGGGTGCGAGAACAATCTCCAGCAAGCCCTGTCAGAGACAGGGTATGTGAAACTTGTGGTTCTGCTTTTTTCTTCTTCAGGCAGAACAGCCACTACCCAGAACACTCAAGTTCTGAATGCCCCTGCACCTTAAACATTTTTTTATCTTAAATTCACGTATTGGGTTATCACAGCTGAGTTGTGGTTTGAACAAATGGAAGAGGATGACTCTGCTGGCCAAAACCTCCTTTCAGCCCTTGAGGCTGCAGCCTTGGATAAAAACACAGGGGATGCTTGTAACCACTACAGGCCATGTCATGAGCCAGTCAAGTTGTCATCACCTGCTGAAAGCCCTGAACCTTCTACATCATCACGTGAGCTTTCTCATTTCTTCCATTACTTAACTTTCAGCATATAAATGTTTGGCTACTTTGTATTTTGTACTTAAAACCATGCTGCACTGTCAGCTTTAAGACGGAAGGAAGATGATTCTTTCTGAGGAATCATTCATTTGCCCACTTCCCAGAAGCCTTTTGCCCTAATCTCAGTAATGGATTCTGCTCACAAGCTGTGCTCTTCCACCTACTCATTTAGAGCCCTCACTCACTCAATTAAGTCTGCTTTTCTGCACAGCTGCCTCAAAGTCCAGTCTCCCTCCTCTGATTTCTACCCCCTGGAAACCTCTCCCCACCACCCCCAGAGCAGCACACATCTTGGGAAAGTCGTTTGCCAGACTGAATTCCTGAGGATCTCTCAGTTGATGCAATACCAGGAGCCTTCCTGCCACAAACTCCAGACATTCCTTCCTCCAAGGCCTGACATTTAGATGTGCATGCCTGAACAAGCCTCTGTAACAATCCCTTCCTCATCCCTTCTCTGCTCTTCCCCATTCTCCCACCATCTGAGAGCAATGCTAAAAAAAATACTCCTTCTACAGAAAAGGATCAGCACTAAAAAATGATCATTTTCATGGAACAGACTCAATTTTAAGCCTGTTTCAGATAGTATCTGAACTAACTTCCTCCACAGGCCACTCCCTTTTCCACTAAGTCTCAGTTGTTCTTATCCCCATCTTCAGCTACTCCCAAAAAGAATGAAGGGGAAGTTTTTAAAAAAATATCAGAGAAAAAAAGGAAGGCTTGAGTGATGGGGAACAGCATCACAAATGCAACAGCACCGAAGACTGACTCTAAAGCAGGGTACTGCTCCCTTCACGTTATCACATTGAACCAGGGACAGGAATTACACTCAGCCCATGCCAAATTGCATTACAATTAGTCACAGCTTTGCAATCTGCCTTGGGAGAGAGGCAGGGGGGAAAAGCATCAGACTTTGCATCTGCGCTCTCTGGCGTCGCAGAGAGCCGTGAGGAGGCAAAGCAGAACCAGGGTGCCCAAGGGCCCTGCTCCTCACCTTGTTGGCTCTGATCTGCTTGTAGATGTCCGTCTGCTGCCGGATCCGGTACTCCAGGTCCGAGACGTGGGCTTGGAGCCAGTTCCAGCGGCTGACGATGGCGGCACGGTCCGCTGCCCACCTCCACTCTGCCCTCCGCCTCCTGCAACGACACACGGGATTATTCTCAGTGGGTCTGAATTACACAGGCCACAAAGTCCAAGGAGAACTGACAGGCAGATCAAAAGCTCCATCCTGGATGGCAGCACTGATATCATCTCACCACTGCTAATAATTACCAAGGAATTGCAGATGTGCCGCAAGGGCCGTATCTTCGCAGAGCAATATTCCAACATATTCTGGTACCCAGTGACTGAAATCTTCAAAATAAGTCTCTGCCAGCAGTCCCCAAATCCACCTGAACAGCAGCTCATACCATGTGGCCACAAGAAAACCTCAAGCCAAGTGCCACAACCACCCCTGCTGGGGTTTAGAAGTTGGAGAGGACCAAGAGGGCCAACCTTGCCCCAGCTGCTCCCCTGCAGGGACCTGCTGCAAAGGACAGAGCAGGCAACAGCAAAGCAAACCTGATTTCTGCATCTGATGGACAGACCAAGCAAATAAAGAAGCCAGGAAATCACATCAACTGCCATCAAAACACCCTCAATCCCTACTGCTGCAGTCCAGGGCAGAAAGGAACACAAGGATGGTAAGGAGTGGATAAATCCACGGCTCCTCTCTCCACGTTAAAAGCCACTATAAACATACCCCAAGCATCCTGATTCCAGTGGATAAATATTAAGGTTGCCCAGAAAGGAAGAAAACCCCAAGACAGTGTGGAAACAAAGCATCAGCAGAAAGTGCTGACAAATCCAGTGTTGCTGCACAAAGGCTTTGCCACATCTGGATGCTTTAGCAATTAAGAAATTAATCGCAAAATAATTCCCTTTGCCCACCTCCCCCTCCTGTGTAGCAATTCTGAACCAGCCAGAGCACGTGGGGCAGGGGAGCCACAGCAACGTCCAGATGTTTCCTCCAAAATCAAACCAGAAAGTCTTCTGCTGAGATTAACCCATTTCAGAGCTGAAACCAGCCACGGCAGCAGAAGCAGCACGTGGTAAATGAGGCTTTGTACTGAGGCAGCCCCAGCTGCAGAGATGGGAAGGAGCAGGAATCATCAAGTTCTGCAAAAAATCTGCACCTCCTGGGCCTCTGTCCTGATTTAGGCATAACTGCTACCAAATGCACTTGCCTAAAAATGAAATAAATAAAAGAAAGTCCCAGGGTTATTACAAATTTCCAATCAACTAATAGAAATATCCTGAAAAGGAGGAGTTGGGTGCTTCAAACTGCAAGTGAAACCCATGCATTTAGAACAAGACATGTTATCCACGCTCCTGCTGGACCTCTGGCTGCCCTGCAGAGCCAGTGTAGATGAGGCCACATTCCCACAAAACACATTCTGCCCTCCCAGCCTTCTCCAAGACCTTTTCCAAAACACCTTTAAGAGTTCAAGTCCTTCCCTCTGGAATATCTGTCTGTGTAAAGCCAGATTTCAGCAGTTTGCCCTCTGGAGATCCACAGAGACCTGGGAATTGCTTTTAGAATTAAGTTTTTAGAGTCAAATGCTGCTGAGAATACATCCAAAGGGCCAATTCCCTAGTTTACCTCTCCCAGCATTACAAAGCACCTCTGCCTGCTGGAACACTGGCCTCTGCTGTATTTAACAGCATTCTTTTGCAGAAATTAAGTATGAAAACAATAGTTTAAAATCCATTTAATTTCTTAAATGACATAGCAGCACAAGCAGCAGCAGACCTGCTCCTCACCTTAAAATCAGGACACATCCTACCCCAGAAAAACCCACTGGATTTGAACCAAAAATAACCCAAGAAAGTGAAACACAGTAATGTACGCTTCATCCTCTGACACCCTGCGGCAGCAGTGGAGGAGGGGAGGAACAGAATGATGGCTCAGCCACACTTTCCAAAACAGCACGGAGCGTAGTGTGTCTCTATATTTAGAACTGAGCCTTTCCCAGCTGGGTCCCACCCTTCCCTGGGAGGTGCTGGCGGCAGCATCACGGGATGGATGTCCCTCCATGGGGATCAGCTCTGGGATAAGGACCCACGGACCTTTCTCAGCTTTACTGCCCCTGTAAGCATTTTGTGAAAATGATTCTTTTCTTGTCTAGCAGCAGAAAGGAGCAACCATGAAGAGCAGGGTGTGATGCCCTGCAGTGACCACTGGGGATCTGAGACCTCCACTTGCTCTGGGGGAGAGGAAAACCCTCTCCTCTCCTCTCAGCCTGAAGGGAGTCTACAAGGAAGATGGAGAGGGACTTTTCACAAGGGCAAGGAGTGGCAGGAAATTGGGGAATGGCTTCAAAGTGATAGAGGGAAGGGTTAGATTGGATATTAGGAAGAAATTCCTCCCTGTGAGGGTGGTTAGACCCTGGCACAGGGATCACTTAGTTCCACCCCAGCCATGGCAGGGACAGCTCACACTGGCCCAGGCTGCTCCCAGCCCTGTCCAGCCTGGCCTTGGGCACTGCCAGGGATCCAGGGACAGCCCCAGCTGTGCCAGGGCCTGCCCACCCTGCCAGGGAAGGATTTCTTCCCAATATCCAATCTCAGTCTCAGCTTCAGGTCCCTCAGTCAGCCCATCCACCCACCAGTCCATGCTGCTTTCTGCTGAGTCCATGCAGCTGAATTCCAACCAGGCAGACAGAGACAGCCTCAACAAACTGAGGGAATTAGAGATTAGCAGACTTTTCACCAGGAGACTGCCCAGCTGCAAAGTGAGCAGAGCAGATCCACCAGCTGCTGCTAAACCATCCTGGTAATGACACGGAGCAGAAAAATGGAGCTAGAACTGTTTTTGGATTGGAAAGTTACAGGCTGAAGGGGAGCTCCATTATCAGAACCACTTCTAGGAATCAGCAGAATGGATGAGAAACAGCCATTGGGGTCTGGAGTGAGACTGCTCCTGCCACTCCAAACACTTGAGCAAACCCAAACCATCTTGACGCTAAATGAGGAATAACAGGTCACGCTGGAAGAAACAGTCGATGCCAGAAGAGAGAGAAACACAACACAGAAACACTGAGAAGCTCTGCAGGCAGCCAAGCAGGCTGAGCAGGGGATTCACTGGGAACCAGAGGGTGCCTTTGGCACAGCCCAGGGCACCTGGCAGCTCCCAGAGCCTCGGACACTCACAAATTAATGCCACAACATGAGGCAATCAGCTCCAGCTTTCCAGGCACTTTCCGTATGGTTCCCCTCCTCCACTGTGCACTGGCACATTCCCAGGGGCTTTGCTGTCCCCTGGAATGCAGGCGCCTTCCAGTGCAGAGGCCACGCCGTATTCTCCTCTTTCCTCTCTTTGGACAGGAGAAATCATGGGAGAGCGGTTCAGAGCTCTGGGGTTTGAGCCTTTCCCCCCAGGGACACACAGCTCAGCCTCCCTCACCTTCCAGAGGCAAACTGGGAAAGTGTCAGCCCCTTCCACAGAGGAGCCTCACCCTGGCACTAGAACAGAGCCCAGGAAGTACAGGATGGGACCTTTCTTCAATCAGACAAGCAATTCAGCTGATATTTTCCACTTTGCTCCTGTCCCCATATATTCTTCACATTCATTCTTCAGCTCACCAAGCTGCTTTATTGTTCTTCTTCTTCTTATTATTATTATTTTATTTTATTTTTTTTATCAACAGAAAACCAGATCAATGTGTGGAGCAAGAGTTAAAGCTCTGCCAAACCCACTCTCAGGCTGACTCTGAGGGAGGAAGAGAAAACCCCACAAGGCTCAAGAACAATCTCATTAGCTGATGGTAACATTTCTGCCTGCAAAGGAGCCAAAGTGAACAATTTGTTCAGCTGAACGCCCGCCCCCAGCCCTGGACAGAACCATCAGCTTTGAAGGGCTCTTCTATTCCCAGCACGTGCTCAGCACTCTGCTGAATCTCCTTCCAATCTCCCCTCGGCTCATTCATTCCTGTATTCACACAAACCTGGGACCTCCACAGGCTGGGAGTGAAGACATTTCCACTGAAAAGCCCCCACTGCCCAGGGAAAACTTGGGAGCACAAATCCTAAAGCATGAGCAGCACTAAGCCACGCTCCTGCCCCAAGACAGAAGAACCCAGTTTCCCACCAGTAAACTGAAAATCCCTCTTGGATTTACCCCCTGCTTTAGCTCAGAGCAACGCTGCTGGCTGTGAATGACCCCAGACCTGCAGGAACACAGCACAGCAGCTCCAGAGCACTGTCCAAGGCTGGACAAGGTGGTCTCAGAGGGCTTTCCTGACTGAAAGGATTCCACAGCTCCGTGCAGGTGGAACTGCCCAGCCCCAGGTGCCACACAGGGCTGGTGACAGCATCTCATCCCATCAGCGCCCCGGGGTCCGGATCCTGCCTGGAGCCCGCAGGTGACACAGGGACACTGAGCCACTCCTGCCGTGCTGGCCCTTCCCAGCCCAGCACAATCCCTGTGGAAGCACAGGAACCTCCAGAGGAACAGGCAGCAGCTCCCACCAAAGCCTGCAAATGGCACAACGGTGTCTCAGCAATACTTCAGCGCTATTTCAAAGCCAAGTGCCCCAGATCTTTACACCATGACATTTATGCACTGCCCCGAGCATTTATTCAGCTGACTGTCTGAAAAACAGCCATTCCCAGCTCTAGCTGCTCTTCAGCCCTCAGCAGCGACAATTGTTCTGTGACAATAGCCAAAAATTTGGATTTTATTCTTCCAGCTACACCAGTGCAAGTCTGGGCCATGTCTGAACCCTGCTCAGCACGCGTGGACAGAGGTGTGGGGAGACAGGGGAAAGGTGGGGGAGCAAGGTGTGGACAGGGGGGATCACAAGTGTGGTCACCACAAGCTGCCTGTTACACCAGGAAAACCAACTCTCCAGAGGCACAGCAGAGCAGTCAGCTGAAAAACACCATGTTTTAAGAGAATTGATTAGACCCATTTTTCAGTACAGCTGTCCACAAGCTCTGGGCACTGAGGCAGGCAGAGCAGAGCAGACTGAACTGTGATGTGCAGATTCTGCCTGAGCACCATCACTCCACAAATTAATGCAGTTTCTTAGTCCCTTGCAGCTAAATCCAGGAACAAGAAGGTGACACCACACCGAGCACTAAAGTGTGCTCCAAC